TCAGCGGATCTTGGGTCTCATGGCAGCCACCACTTCCGTGATCGAATATGCACGCCTTCGCATGCGCCCGTTGCAGCTGTGGTTTCTAAAGAAATTTCGCCCTTCCATCCATCCTCCGAGCCTTCAACTGGTAGTGCCTCCGCAGGTCCTCGTCTCCCTGCAGTGGTGGCTCGTGGACACCAATCTGTTGGCGGGTGCACCGTTCCAACCGATCGTTCCCGTAATGTCCATCACCACAGATGCCTCCCTGTGGGGTTGGGGTGCTCATACAGACGACACTTGTGTGGGTGCTCCATGGCAACCCCTTTGGAAGAGTCATCATATCAACTATCTGGAACTGCTGGCCGTAAAATTTGCCCTCAGATCCTTACTCAGACAGGTTGTAGGAAAAGCTGTGTTGATTTTTACGGACAACACAACTGCGATGGCTTATATCAATCGCCAGGGCGGGACCGTGTCCAGGTCCCTTTGCAGGCTAGCTATGGACATATGGGAAGAGTGCCTTCATTGGAACATCACTCTCCAAGCTGCCCATCTGCCAGGAACTTTGAACCAACAAGCGGATTTCCTGAGCAGAGGGGGAGCATCGGACCACGAATGGGAGTTGAACTCAAAGTATCTCCTTCCTCTTTTTCAACATCTGGGACATCCCCACATCGATGTTTTTGCAACTCGATTGAACAAGAAGTGTCCCAGGTTTTGCTCCAGAGCGGGGTTGGACCCTCTGTCAATGGGGGACGGTCTGTTGATGTCGTGGGCTCACGACTTTCTATACCTATTTCCTCCGATTCCGCTGCTCCACAGGGTGCTTGTGAAAATACAACAGGACAAGCCCCATTGTCTCCTGGTAGCCCCCTGGTGGCCTCGGCAGGTGTGGTTTCCGACACTGCTGCGGTTAGCCAAGGGATCCTTCGTACACTTCCCGCAGGAGTTGGATCTCCTCCAAGCTCAGGAAGGCCAGGTCCTTCACTACGATCCTCTGAGTCTCAAGTTGACTCTATGGGAAATACGCTTTCAGTGATGGATGACCGTATCAATGAGGTCCTGTTGAATTGTCGTAAACTGTCTACTAGGACGTCTTACGCAAAGAAGTGGGATTTATTCCTACAGTACTTGAGTTCTTCCAATTTACCTCCTCCGCCAGTGGATTTGAGGTCTATTTTTGCGTTTATTTTGTCCAGAATGGACTTGGGACTCAGTTTTTCTTCAGTTAAGGTGTATTTAGCTGCGGTGTCAGCTTTTCATCCATCTATTGATGGGTTTTCAGTTTTCTCGCATCCTCAGACGAAACAGTTTTGTAAAGGTCTTATTCGCCTGTACCCTCCCCGTCGTTCTCCGACTCCGGCCTGGGATTTGGCTTTAGTTTTGCGGTTTTTGATGGGAAAACCCTTCGAACCACTGGCCACTTGCTCTCTAAAGTTGTTATCGCTCAAGACTGCGTTTCTGGTGGCCATTACTTCTGCTCGTCGAGTCAGTGAGTTGTCTGCTTTAAGGTGTGATCCACCATACTTGATTTTTTCCCCTCATGGGGTGTCGTTGTCTTTGGACATCTCCTTCTTACCGAAAGTCGTTTCGGAGTTTCATCTACGTTCAGATATAGTTTTGCCGTCATTTTTCCCGTCTCCTGCCAATGAAGAGGAACGGAAATTGCACTCTCTGGATGTTAAGAGGGCGTTGCTGTTCTATTTGGGCAGGACCAAGTCTTTTCGTCAGTCTCCAGCCTTGTTTGTTGCTCACAGTATGCCCTCCCTAGGGAAGAAGATCTCTTCCCAGACGCTGTCCAGGTGGATTGTGGAAGTAATCAAGCTATGTTACGCTTTGGCTAAGAGACCTCTTCCAGGTCAACTTCGCGCCCACTCTACAAGGGCGGTGGCGGCTTCCACAGCTTTCCTGAGAGGGATGCCATTGGAGGACATCTGCAACGCTGCGACTTGGGCTACTCCGCTCACCTTCGTGAAGCATTATGCCCTGGATGTCCGGTCTACTCGTCGTGTGGCGTTGGGTCGGTCTATTTTGCAGACGGCGCAGGTGTAGGGCCTCGGCCCCTCCTCCAGGTAAGAGTTATTGCTTGCTATTCTCCCAAGGGTGTGATGCACAGAGACCACGAAGAAGATAGACAGGTTGCTTACCTGTAACTGGTGATCTTCGAGTGGTCATCTGTGCATTCACACCACCCGCCCTCCTTCCCCTCTGCTCTCGGCCCTTCATCTTGTTTCTTTGAAGGCTGTTGGGCGGCGGTCAGAAGGAACTGGCGGGATCTGCGTGCCCCTCCTTGGTCATGCGCAGTGGAGCCGGCGCGTGACCTGGGAGAGGCGCGAAAATCCCTTTTGCTAGCTATCGGTACCGAGAAGGTCAGCGCAGGCGCAGAGTATCCCAAGGGTGTGAATGCACAGATGACCACTCGAAGATCACCAGTTACAGGTAAGCAACCTGTCTTTCGTCACACCCACTTGTATCTGCCCCATACCTAGCTAAGAAATTGTACTACCTCTCTGATCCACAAGAACTTGATAACTTGATCCTCAGTGCCTCCCTTTGATGGTCTCATGCCTGCCCCATTGCCTCCCCTCTCCTTATTCAAAAAGTTTCTTTCAATAATAAAACTGAAACTATCTGCTCTGATTCCTGTGACTCTCCATTTCAACTGCTCTTCCAGTTCTTCCTCTTCCTGCACCCTCTGCCCCTTCTCACATGCGTTGCCAACTTTCAAACATCATTTTGCTCTGCAGCAGTTACCAAGTAGTGTTATATAGGGCAATGCCTTGAAAAGCTTCAACTACCAAATTGTGCATATTAATCCTCTAGTGAAGGGATAGGACATTTGCCACCCTCCCATGTCCAGGTGGCAACCTTAGTTGGCAGGCACCTTCCTTTGTCTTGTGCAGCCCCATCCTAAGAACATTTACTCAGGAGTAAGTCCTCCCCAGTACAGTGGGACTTACTTCTGTGCTTTACAACCTGACCCTTGTGCCTACTAATACTACTGTCTGATAACTGCAATCAGTCCCCTCTAAGGGACTGATATTTTAAGCAGCCAGGTGAAAGGCTGTAACTTACATGGCTGCTGGTGTGATGTCTGTTTGGGATTATACCTTCTCTGGTCTTAATGTGTGTGAAGGTGCAATAGAACACATGCTCCTCGAGACTGCTATAAACATTACCCTTTTAATTAATATCTCTCCCAAGCATGTTGTTGCCAAAATAATCTTTTGATTGTTTTCCTGATTTATTGCAGAAAAACCAAAAGCATACTAACTTGATCTGTATGTTCATACTTGTTGTAGGGTAGCTTCCCTGCAAGAGCAAAGGAAACCTAAAGTGTCTTTAGTCAAAGTGTAAAGCTGGCTCACCAGCTCTGAGTTGGGAAATACCTGGAGATTTTTGGGGTGTTGCCTTCTGAACACTTCCGGTGATGACAGGGGGTGTGGCATATGCAAATAAGTTATGCTAATGACCTCTGGTAACCCTAGGCTACGTTTTGACTTGGTGTTTTGCACTTCGCTCGCTTTACTCTGTCTTCTCTGGTACCTTGACCTCAGACTGTGTTCCGGACTTCTGTGCCCTGCCTGGCCCACCAGCACAATCATGACAGATGGCCCCAAAGGCAAAAGATTGGGTGAAGATAAATCCAATTGAGCTCCCACTCGTGCTCCGCTGCCCCTCCTCTGCTCAAGAAGTCTGCTTGGATGTTCAGTGTTCCTGGCAGATGAGCGGCCCTTAGGAACATATTCCACGATGGACACTCGACCCATAGTTCTATGGCTAGGTGACATAGCCCCCCGGGAGATCGTACCTCCCTCTGGTAGCCCAGCCTACCACACTGAAAAGTGCCCAGAGCACATGAGTTATCTAAGGCCCCGGGCACACGGGCCGGCTGAAACGCGGCTACTCAGAGCCGCTCCAAACTTGAGACGCCGCGGCGGGATCCCACGGATCCCCTAGCCGCGGCGCAGCACTCCCCGGCACGCTCAGATGCCGGGGAGGAAAAGTCCGAGGGGAGGGGGGAGGCTGCCGAACTGCGCATGCTCGGGCATGCGCAGTACGGCTGGGGGCCGGGATGCGGCGGCGCAAGGACGCGCAAGGACGCGCCGCCGATCCCACAGCCCTGCCTGCGCCGCACCAATGGATGCAACCACCTAGAGAGGTGGTTGTTTTTTGCGGCGCAGTATGGGCAGTTGGGACGGATCAGGGACGGAGACGGCACGCTCGCCAGATGTTGAGGTGAGATCGCGCCTGTTTGCTCCGCCCCAGTTCCATCCCGCTCCCGGCCCAAATGGGCTCGTATGAACGGGGCCTAGACCTGAAGTTGGTCCACCAGCACTTTCTCAGTTGCTATTACTGGAAGGTTGTACCTTGAGACTGAACCTCTGCATTTGACACTGTTCCTTTTTACAGCATCTGAAAGGAAAACCTTCCCTCTAGTCAATCAGTTTGTGCAGTCCCAGAGAACAAAGCAACTCATGCCATCAATATCCATACTTACATAGAATCAAAAAACTCTTCCAAAGCCAATGAGACTTTGCACTAATTGGCAGAAAATGAAAATGCTATGCACAAAATCTTCAATTGAAAATGGACCCTGTTTGGTGGGAAGATCAGAACTATTCTGGTTGGACAACTTCCCTATCAGGCAAACATCTCCTGAGTTATTATTTCCTTTGCTGCCTGGAAAACCTAAAACAGACAGTGAAGTACCAGAATAACTGTCAGATGGTTTTCAGTCACTCCCAAATGTCGGAAATTATTTGGCTTGGATTCAGAGCATTTACTATTTTAATTAAAGGGTGTTATTCAGATGAATAGCAAACTCCTGTCTTTATCCCAGCTCTTAAATAGCCTTTTGGCAGCTTCTACCCGCTTTCTTATACAGAGGCTACTGAGAGACGGGAGGCATAGAAAGCTCCCTACTCAAGTGGCCTCAGGTTAACCTGTATTCCTGGGTGGGGCTGAGGACCTATTCATTACACTGGCACAACTAATCTGTGGGTTTCTCTTCTCAGGGTTCCCGTCTCGTGATGTCCTTTTGGTCTCAGTGATCATCACCATCAGCCTTAGTGTCACCATTGTTCTGTGTGGGTTCTGCCAATGGTGCCAGCGCAAATTGGTAAGTTATAACAGTGTGCAGTCAGCAATGCTGTGAGGGGAAATTCAGAACCAGTGGGAAAAAAGCTTTTCCTGGGCAAACCAGCTGTTTAAAAGCTTGGAAACCTCAGAGTCCTCTATGCTTGAATGCAATGGAATAGGTTGCATGCTTCCGGGGAGAGGCAGGCAGGAATTTAATTACAACGCTGGTTGATAATAATAATAACGGTGTTTATACAGTGCCCCCCCAGCCCCTGCTAAATGCTTGGGGCATAACACCAGCAATTAAAGTGGGACTATAGCTGTATTCCAACAACAGTAATTAAAGGATCAGGAGCTACAAAACAAGAAACCAAGCCAAGCAGACGAAGGGACTGGAAAAGGGCAAGGGCTGAAAGGGGAAAAGCAGGTGGAGAGCAGAGAAGAGTGGATAATTACTGATCCTAAAAGATGGAATGGGAAGGAATAGAAGGAAGATGCTCTGGAGGTGGGGAAAAGACAAACACAGGAGCTTGACAGCTGCCCGCCCACCACTCAAATCCACCTATTAAAAAAAGGTAGAGGGAAACTTTCTTATAATATACAAGGTTTATTTTAAACCAAGGGATGTGGAGGGGGCTTTAGGAAGATGTTTTCATGCTGATGAAGGACTGTAGGTGGGGAAATCACGAAGCAGCCCCTCTCTGCCTGTGGCTCTTCCGTTCACTCAGACTCTCGGCACAGGCAGGCTAATATTCAGTTTTTAAAAAATACAGGGAAAGAAACACAAAATTCAATGTAGTTTGAGCCTGATCACAATGGAGTTAAGTTTAGGTTTATAAATTTCAGAGGGGAGGAATGGGGGGGCTAGGGGGGGTGAAGAGGTTTTAAACTTTTTCTTCCCCTACTGTTTCCTACAGATAAAATTCCACCCCTAAACCATTTTTATTCTTACTTGGAGAATAATCCATAGATAAAAGGGTTACACCAATCCTATGCTAAAGCTAAAATAATTATGCTCAATGGCTCTACATGAATTGCTTTTATTGTTAAAAGACTGACAGATTTTTAATTATAGAGTTCTTCCTTGAGGCCATTTTCTTTCTCCCTTCAGTTCTTTGAAAAGAAAGTTGGCTTGCTTTCTACCCACTTACTTGTCTCTCTACAAGCAAATGGAGAGAAAGAAAACCCTTGTCCCTATTGAAGTAATTCGAGAGGGAGGAGCAATTTCCATATAATGTGGAAAACTATTTGTAGCCATTGTTTGTCTGTTCCCTTGACCTTTCCCAGTCCTGATTCAAGTCTTTGGAGAAAGAGTGAAATCCTGATGCCAGCTATAGCCAAGCCCTTAGACGGAAGCAGTTTTCCCTAGAATACATGCCTGACTTTATTGGAGCAAGGACGTTCTTTCGTAGCCCATGTAACCATCAGCTTGTGGTCTGAGGCATGATGATTCGATTACCCAGACTGTGCCGGCATAGCCACACACCCAGGGATATTAGAGCATTGCCAAACACACATACACAAAGACACTTTGCAGAGGGGACTGCTGCAGGTAAGCTTTTGCACCAGTTGCAAAATGATGTGTTAAAAGTGTTTTTTATGCTCAACTGCATTTTGAGGCCCCATCTCTGTCATCCTCTGTTCCTCCCCTATACTGAGCCATAGAAGCAAAAATGCCTTTCTCTCATCTTGGTTATCCCACAACTGAATCAATATTTTTTGCATTCTGCTCATGCATTCTGATAAACTTGCTAGTCAACCATGCTACCAGGTCCCAGGTTGCCAGCCCCAGGTCCACATAGGGGTTCCCCCACTTCTGGGGGCTCCAATCTGCTACCGGCCAGCTGGCTGGTGGGGGAAGCCCCGCCTCCAAGCCCTGCCCACAAGAGTGGCCACCTGCCTGGCCACCCCTCTCCCCCCAACAAGGGGACCTGGCAACCCTAACTAGTATTTACAATTTCTCTACAGCAGAGCAAGTGACTGTTTTATCTGCTGTCATGGTAAAAGGCTGTGTTCTGAACTGTTATAAACTTCAGGGATGGTGAAGCAACAGAGGCAACTTGTTTACATAGAATTATTCTGGAATGATTCTAGAAAGGCTGCATTTGGATCAAAACCCCACTCTTCACCATTTTAGCATGTTTATTTCTGGCTAAAGATTTTCCATGCGCTGGCAGGGTGTCCCATCTCTGCAACGTGAAGGGTTTTCCAGGCAATCAGGTAACTAACCATGCCCTGACTAAGATGGCCCAGGCTTGCCCGATCTCATCAGATCTTGGAAGGTAAGCAAGGTCAGCCCTGCTTAGTCCTTGCATGGGAGACCACCAGGGAAGTCTAGGGTTGCTACACAAAGGAAGGCGATGGCAAACCACCTCCATTCATCTCTTGCTTTGAGGATTCCATGTGGTCAGCTGCAATTTGATGTCACTTTCCACCACAACTACTTCGAACTACCCGTATGTAACCCATTGTTGCGCAGTTGACCCAGATGTCCTTCTGCTGCACTAAAGGCAAAATCAATGTACTTTTAAGCAATGAGGCTCAATCCCTTATCCAGTATTTCACAACTGAATTCATATTCACACCAGTCTGATTTCTAATCATCAGCAGGCAGAAGATTGTTGATTGATTAGTTTGCTAACACAAAGCAAACTAACTACCCAAACACATTAATTAGTCCTGTTACTCTAATATCAATAAAGGAAAGTATTTCATGCAATTATCATTTGAGACTGAGCAGCTCTCATGAGAGATGACTTATAAATTCCATAAATAAATGAATGTTATCAGAGACCTTGCCTCTGATTCAGGTAGCTAATTCTCTCATCTGCAAGGGGAAATTGACATGGCCAGTAACTGACCTTCAACCTGTGGAATCTTTTCCAAGAATCCGATGTACTGTTTATACCGTGTACCGTGTACACACAAAGCTAACGTGCAAAGTCGATGTACCTGGTTTGGCTACCATCCAGAATTAGTGATGGTTCACCTGGGGGAGATTCTTCTCAAGTGCATAATTGCCTGGCATGTCTTGGTGGGAGAAGTGGGTTGTCTTATCTTGCTGTGTTTCCTTCCCAAATTGTTTCAGATTCTTGGCTAGGTGAAGGCATATGTGTTACTCTCATCTCAAGCTTACAGCTGTCAGAAACAAAATGGATTCTGCTTGTGTTAATGCCAAGGAAAGACCCTGCTGTGTCAGTGCCTTTGCCTGCTATTTCATTTATTACCTTTTTGCTGGGTGCCATTCAGACATGGAAGGAATCAAGGCATCATTCCCTCAGGGTTGCATTTCTGTGCATTTTTCACTTTTCATGTACTCAAAACACCATATTTTATACTTGAGGAAATGTGATTTTCTTCTTGGCTAGGACACTCATTGCAATTGCAAATGTTGTTTGAAATGTGCAAGTGTCTTGGGGGATATTGCTTGTGAAATGATTGGTGACAGGTGACACCCCATGCCTGCAACATATTGTGACTTTTTGTCCATTTTATGTGATTTTTAAAACATTTTAATGGATGAGCACTCCTCTGCTGTACCTTTCTGAACCCCTGTAGTGTGGGAGCACTAACTGGACTTTTTTTTTTTTAATTGAAAGCTTCTTCCTGTGACATAAATGGGGATGAAAGACAAATTTCCTGCCAGGCTTCTGCAGTTTAATGGCCTGAATTTCCCCACTCCAGTGTGAGAGTGCTTGCCTACCTAGCCCCAACATTTCACAAACCTTTAGGCTTGCCAAGTCCCCCCGGGGGGTGGGGGAACCCCCGATTTCCAGTCTCCACCCCTGCTTTTTTGAAATTGGCCAGCAGGGGACAAAATGGCGGCCAGAGTGTGACACTCAGTCCTCCAAGTCTCTATGGCTATGGAAACCATAGAGTGGAGGGCTAGAGCGTCACATAACTGGAGGCACCCAGTTCCCTCTAGTGTACGCTGGGATTCTTTCCTCTGCTGGTCAGCCACGCTGCTCCAGCGCAGACAGATCCAATGGTCTGGCTGGCTCCGTCATCAGTCCCAGGCAGCAGCAGCCCGAGGAGTGGGCGCTGGGCTCAGGCAGGAGCCCCACTCCTCTCGTTATCAGCAGCAGCCAGCTAGCCTCTTACAGGGCACCCTCACCCACTCCCAGCAGTCCTCACCTGGGTGGCAACCAATGTTCTCTCTAAGCTGCAGAGTCTTGTGAGCAAAAATTCTACTTTGTGAGCTACAGGCATTAAAGTTGTGAGTGAACAACTTGGCTACTGCATAAATTATTTTGCTCTGGAGCCATCCTTCCTGAGCTAAGACAAAAATCTGTGACCTGGAGGCTAAAAATCTGTGAGCTAGCTCACACTAACTCAGCTTAGAGGGAACACTGGTGGCAACACGTGGTGGGCTCTTCTGTGCCTGCCTGGGTCCCTGGAAAGGTAATGTTTGGGGTGGGCAGTGAGCTGGCCAGCCCGGGCTCCTGTCCTGACTTCCAGAAATTGTGCTAATTTCCATCCCCCTGGCAGCCCCAAGCCCATTCAGCAGCCGTTGGTACTCCACTCTGGCCTGGGTGGACCCTCGCCACCACCACCAGAAAGTTTAGGGGATGGGGGGGGGAACTGGGAGGTCCCTCATTGCCGCCATGTGGTCTCCTTTGGACCGTCGGCCAGGTGGTGGGGGTTTGCATGGCCAGGTGGTGGGGGTAGGGTGGGGGGTTGCTGGTGGGCCCCTAGCTGCTGCAGCCAGGCAGAGACTGGGAGGTCTAGCACATGGCCTTGCTCTCCTCTGGGCGGGCAGGTGGGTGGGTTCCCTGGTCTGTGTGGAGACAGATCCGTCATGGCTCAGGGAGGTGGATGTGGGCAGGCCCCTTGCCCACCAGCCACAGGCAGCTTAGTTGGCAGCCTGGTACTGGAAGGGAGGGGTAGGTTTTTGTTTTGTCCACGCCACCGCGATTCACCACCTGGAGCTATCGGGGACTCGGGGCTGCGGGAGGGAGGGTGCAGGCAAGCCCCTTGCCGCTGCTGGGCGGAGGTCCTGCTTCGGCCACTGCCACCAGGTGAGAGGGGATTTTGCTTATG